AAAGTCCACAGGGGAAACTTTAAGCTGGCACGAACAGCAATTTATACTATCGAGAATCTTGCTTATGCCTCTTCTGCACTCAGTCATGTTTCTCTGAGAGCAAAGAGAGAAAAGCCACACAAGTGCCACAGAACAGCTCAAACTCAAGTCTACACTAGCTTCTGCTACCCTGAAAATAGGGCAAAAATATATTTTGCCATTGTTATGGTCAGAAGAAAAGAAAAGGAGTGACAGGATAGCAGAATGACCTTTAAGTTACAGGAAATGCATTAAAACTATGAGATAGTCTTTTTAGGATAATAAAAAATTATGGATAATAAAAAAATTATTTCCTAATGAAGAATGACAGGGATGTAGTAAGATATTCTGTACCGATAATAAAAAATTATGGATAATAAAAAAATATTTCCTAATGAAGAACAACAGGGATGCAGTAAGATATTCTGTACAGAAGATTCCAGGTTCCAGTAAGGACAGAAACACCAAAACGCAACAGCTAAAGTGCCCACCAAGCCACAGCCTCCCTCAAAAGGCCCAACCAACCTCCACTTCACAGCACCAAGTCCGTGCTGGCAGAAAGCCACCAAGTTTTATATAGCCTATAAGGCATGACTTAATTGCATAAAACATTCCAAGAAACTCTAGTATAACCGAGTTTTTTCAAAGCACTACGTGACTGGCAAGCGCTGTCTAGTCTCCTATTTTATTCTCTGCTACAGACATAATCCTCAGGAGTATTAAACTGCTCTGATCAAACATTTTCTTTCAAGACTCATTTTCTTGTGTCTGTTCAGTTACCTTTTATAGGTCGCCTCTAAAATCACAACGGAGAAACTGGCCAGGAATTAGCCAAGAAGAGGGGCTTGCTTGATGTAGGTGGTTGGCCTCAAGGCAGAACTTGTCATTTTGAAAAGACTGAAGCGAACGTGGCCCAACTTAGCAGCAAACAATTGTTTGCTGGCAGACAACATTAAGTTCTCTTAAGCTATTTTCCGTGTGATCAATTCACCAATTAAACCACCACATCAATTCCGTCTATCTAATTCATTATTTATAAGTCGTCCATCCAGCCTCCTCAAGCACTTAGTATATATCTAATTTTCACAACAGCTGTTCATCAGAGACAAACATCATACGAGGCAGGCAACGATGGAGCCACGGAGCCGTTACCAATTAACGATGGGTTACATGACTCTCCCTTCTCAGGAATTCACAGGACGTCTGTGGCAAAGCCTGGGACTGACTTAAGGTCATCTTCATCCTGGTCGACTTTAATCTTCTTTACAACTCCATATCCTGGCTTAATAGTGTGTTCACAATTTAAAGTACTGAAAAAGCACTCCCTATCTCAAGGCAGAGCTGACCAGAATCTGTGGGGAAGTCTGAATTTGTTGGAGATTTGTTACTCCTTTAGGAAGTGCGACATTTAAATAATGACCCTCACTAGAATTAATATGCAAGGTTATTAACTGGGATTTGGATTCATAAGTTCAATTAACATCAAAGGACGCTGAACAGCAAAACAGTCTCAGTTAACCCCCTGAAGATATACCCAACAGATTTCTATCAAACTAATTAAAGAATAACATTCCAGGCTGAGTGTCCAGTCACTGCACTCCCTTGGGGCACAAGTACCCCAGGTGGTCCCAAAAACAGCAGCCACATGCTGGGCACAGCTCACACAGAAATGCTCCAGCTGAACCTCTTACCTAATTGCACGGGCTTCAGGAAACTATCATGTGTCCTGCCTGGTGTTCAGGAAGCCCAACAGGAGAGAGGAAGCTATGGATAGGTCAGGAGCAAGCTGCAACAGAAGAGTAATCTACCCCAACAGTATGGAGATAACCAGTAGCTGCTACAACCTGTAAAAAACTCTGAACTCAACTAATCATAGTCTGAGGAAATGCAAAAAGATAACTTGTCCTCCCCATTCGAGGATTGCTGTCTTAGAAGAAAACGTTATGAAGAACCTCTACACATCTTTAACTGTGGTTTCAAAACCAGCAAATGGCCTTTTAAAGGGGGGAAAAAAAAAATGGAATTTGCAGTTTACGGCTTCTCCTTCTCGTGAGCAGACCTCACCCTTCAGTTCCAGAAGGAGGAGGACTTAAGTAAGGGCATGGTCATCCTGTTAAACAGCAGTAACACCAGCACAACTTGCTAGTGGAAGCCAGATGTTGCTTTGTGGAGAAACAGAAATGAAACTGATTGGGATACTTACTAGATTTGCTATTTCTGAAATTGAGACAGTATCTATCTCAACTGGACATGGCAGGTCATTAATCTGTCCCCAGTTCTTATGCAGTATAGATGTGCCCTACTTCATTAACTTACCCAGATACACTGTAGAGAAGTGATGATATGCTTTCCTTGTATTCAGCACACTCAAAAGACAGACCAAACTTTCCTACTAAACAAGCTGGAGCATTTCCCTTGCCATTCAGTATTCCAAATACTCATTCAGCTGCTGCTCCTGGAAGAGACCTCACAAATATGTATTCTTCTGCTGAACTATTTAGCACACTGCCTTTAACACTTTCAGTATGTTACCACTATGGATGTCAGATCCCAGTTGCGGACTAGGGGGTGGAAATATGAGACATACCTTCACTCTAACTCTAGTATCATGGAATATCCTAAACCATATTTCCAGTTCCAACCACTACACCCAAAAATATTACAGGAGAAAGGGTGAATGGCAGATTCAAAGCGGATGACCAGCCAGGGGCTGATCTGTGTTACAGCAGATGATGCATTCTGCACCTGATCAAGATGAAAGCAGGAAAGGGACATGGTCGGCATTCTCCATCCTGCACCCTTGGCTGTATTTCTGATCACTGCCATTGCCCTGTTTTCAAGGCTATTCTTTTACACTGTTAGGAACCAAGCCATCAGTGCTGCTCTTGAACAAATACCAAGCAAAGATGAACTTTTATCCAATTTTACAGAATCACTGAACCATACGGGGTTGGAAGAGACCTCTGGAGATCATCTAGTTGAACCCCCCTGCCAAAGCAGGCATCTTCATGCCATGCAGGCAAACTCCAGCCCAAGATGTGGCCCAATGTGCTGATCTGGAGTCTGGCCATAGCTTGTCAGCAGAGAACGAAGAATAAGCTCAGAGTACTTCTGACAGCAACATCTCCCACATCATCTGAGGTTGCGTGGCAGAACCACACCAAGAACCCCACAACCAAAGCTTTTATTCAAATTCTCTAGTGCAAAACATCCGGTAATATTCAGTACATTGTTACTGACAAGTCTAACGTTAAGAGCTTACTTCATCATAGTTAGGCCTGTGAAAGCATTAGCTTTATTTAAAAAGATCAGGATTTACAGTGGAAAAACAAACCCAACTAAAATACAACATTAAGAACACCGGAGGAAGAAGAGAAAAAGGCAGGCAAAGAGGCAGCAGGCAAGTGAAAAGCCAAAAAAACGTGGTAACAGCTAACTAACAAATTCATAGGGAATGAGAATAGGATTTAAAAACAGATCATAAACTGTAAAGAAGAAGGGTGATAAATGGGAAGATAAAGAGCCAAGTTTTCTCCAACCACAGTGCCAAGTACACATAACCTAATTCTAACAATGAGAATAGGATTTAAAAACAGATCATAAACTGTAAAGAAGAAGGGTGATAAATGGGAAGATAAAGAGCCAAGTTTTCTCCAACCACAGTGCCAAGTACACATAACCTAACGGAGCTACTGGGAATTATTCATCCAGCTGTTCTCAGCTGCCCAACCCGTGTTGGAAATGCGTGTGTCTGGCACTGCTCATGTCAGACCTGAGCTACATCCACTCCCCATTGACCTGAGGCTCCTTGTGGACTGCAGCTGACAGGGCTTCAGAGCAGCAGCAGAACTGCTCTTCTTTCTTCCCTATCTGGTGACTGCTCTGGAATATCTAGCTCTTCAATCCCTGATTTTCCCTGCACAAAGCTGTACCAGGTATATATGAAAGGAGCAGTGAGGAGTAATGAGGTAAAAAAAATAAATAAATACTCCCACTAGAGTAATACTGCAATAAAAAAAGCATCACCTGTGTCAGCAGCTAATAGCAGATATCTAGGACTACAGGAGAGGCCAAATTTACAGCAACACTCCTACATACTCTTTTATAGTCATCTCTGAATAAAGCATTTCTGAATAAGAAAGGGTACCTTTGCAACTGACCGACTTCAATCAATTTCTTCCATGCATTTGTTGAGGTGCTTTTTGAACCCATGCAAACATTTAGCACCCATTACACTCTGAAATGAGGCAAGCCTAAGCACTTCACAACTATAAGCTGGGGGAAATAGTGCCCTCCTGTTTTGAGCACTGCACTTGCTAGTTTCTTTTGATGCCTCCTAATGGTTCTGTTAGAAGGGACAGTAAATAATTTTGCATATTAACTTTCTCCATAGCAATCAGAATTTCCAAACCATGAGCTATTTAGCTCTACAAATGAGGGCAGTGCCACCTCCCCCATTTTAGAGGTGTACAAATGGAGGCAGGAAGACGGGAGAAGGCTTACTCAAAATAATCTAGCAGGCTAAAGGAAGAAGTAGGCATAGAAACAGTATTATTTTAGTTCCTACCCAGTGTCTTAGCTATATGATGATATAACCCTTCAGTTTCTAGCATAGTTCTTTTCAGTAAACAGAAACTGATCTAGATTTAAAAGAAAAACAAACACACTGAGAAACATCATCACTTATCCTGAAGGCTGTAATTCAGAAGGAAAACTCTTCAGACCCTAAGATAGCCCTCCTTTCTAACCATACATCACCATTACACGCAGTCATACCCATTTTAACAGGTTTCCTTACATTTCATTCATGGCTGGAGTCCAAGAGCTCATCAGCAAATTATCCACTATTACCAGCCCAGATATGTGTATCTGCAGACTAAAGAAATCACATAGATATGGCCCTCTCCTCTGTCCACTTCTAATTGAAATTTGTACTTCAATTTTACAAATACTCACAGCTCCACAGGATTCAACATTCTTACCTTAGCTGATACGGAGGTATCTTAGTAGTAGCATCAGGAGAATCCAACGTTTCTGTATAACGAAAAGAAACAACAGGGCTTTTAAAAGAAACTTTTGAGTTCAACCATAGAAATACATCTGGCTACAATCTCTGAACCAAAGATCCTGAAGTTTATACCTACTCCAGCTGACAGAACAACAGTCACTGCTGCTCTGAGTCTCCAAAGATTTGTATGAATCAAATCAAAGATTTTGTATGAATCAATCTCACTGGGCGCCCAGTGAGAAGGCATCTAAGTACCATCATCTTCTCCTCAGTGAACTCCCTTTCACACATCAGTGCTGGGGCAGCACAGATGCTAAAACATACACTAAAACTGCAACAGTATGGAGGATATTAGCATGGCTGCTGTGCAAGGATAACACACAATTAGCAAAACATCAGGCTGAAAGGCCAGCAATAAGCCAGCAACAGGTATCAACTACCACAGATTGCTGTTAACTGTGGATGGCCGGAAAATAAAAATTTAAAGCCATTTTAAGTATCACAGTTAAGCTGATGTAAATTAGGGGGTCTTGCTGACTAGTGCTCCAGGTAGTTAGCATAAAAAAGCACTTCAAGTCACGGCCAATCTCTGAAAATGGATGGATGCTGAAACGCAGTTAAGCTCATACTCCCTGAAAAGAACGACGACTCATTTTATTGATCATTATTTCCATTATACGGTATGGATAAAAGAGCTCATGGAATCCAGTCCAAAAAAAAATATATGATAATAATCCAGCTTTTAAAAGAAATGCCGACAGCAGTGAAAACTATACTGGAGATTTTTTTTTTTTTTTTTTAATGATGATTTGGGGGGGGGGGGGGGGGGG